CATCTATTGGTTAGTTTATTATAATAATGATAAAGATTATGATTATTAGCAGATGATTGTGTTGTGCTGCAGCCTGAGAATATGATTTTATCAGGTAAATTGTGTGAATGAAGTTGTTTTCACTAACTGTCCCTCTTAGATATCAAAATGCCACCAGTTTTCAAGAAAAGGGGAAAACCAAAAGAACGAGATGTGACTGTAGTTGGACTTCCAGCAAAAAAAAAAGTAAAGATTGATAAAGACAAGAAACGTCTTAAACCATTTAGTTGTCAACACATTACTGTAAAGGAAAGAGGTACTTTTTACTGTAGTGTACTACTGTTGCTATTCGTAGTTATTTTAAATTGGTTATTTTAAATTGGTTGGTTGATAATGATGCTGCTGAAAGAGATTTAAGGGATCATAAGAGTCTAATAGAAGAAGAAGTTGAGACAAGACCAGAGAAATTGGCAAATAGACTGATTGACGAAAATGTTGATATTAATTTAGTTCGTCAATTTTTTTCTAATGATGCATGGCTATCAGTTGAACAGTTGATGGAGTGCATGAAAAAGAGTAGAAGATAGGTTTGTGAAGTGTGTTTTCATGACTTAGATGAGCAGGAGTTGATTGCTTGTGACTTGTGTTTGAAGTAGGCCCATCTTGCCTGTGTTGGATTAACAAATCTCCGAATAAGAAAGTATTGGTACTGTAGGAAATGTTATCAATGATATTTCTTAAAGTTTTCTCTGTTGTTTAAAATATTATTATTATTATTAATCATAATACCGAGTCTAATAATAAACACATAGTTCCACGTGGTTTCTGTGAATGGCCGGTTATTATTCATTGTCGGTCCTACAAGGGGAAAATTGAAAGAACCGTTTACGGCACAGGAGGCACTGCCATTCAATTGTATCATTTGCTGATGATTTGTACACCAATCGCACCATTTCCGCCATGCTGAGGAGCAGGACTTTTAAGTTTCTTTTCTCGAGTCTAAAAATAGCAGCTTAAAAGCATCCTCTGAAAGTGAGCAGTACATGATGGACCTTCCAAGCAACCAACGGAAGACATTTCTGAAGGATTAACAGATGAAGATCTCCTAATGGGTTCTCTAAAAGATCTGAAGTTCATCGCAATCAGATTGGATGTTCTGAAAGATTGTGTAACAGGAGTGGAAACCAGGTCTGTGCTGACCATAGAGGAGCTATAATCACCATCATCTCTACTCTGTCAGACTCAACCCTGCAAAACAAACGGGGGAAAGCGTAACAGTTCAAACCCACCCACTTTTGAGAAAATGCATCAAATACCATGGCATCTGGGTCAGGCAGAAAGCTGTAGAATTTTGGTCACTGGGTATTGTGGCAAGCTGCAAATAAATCTATGTCAAATGGACCCCTGTGCTTCAACAATTGAAGAAATACATGAGGGCCTAACTTCCAATAGGAACGCTTTTTGGTTTCCTGGCATGTGCATTTGCTATAGAATTGTGGATGCCTGGAATATCTTCTGCATGAATAGTGAGACCTCTCCTTAGACACCACTCCCACAATAGGAGGACAAGGTCTAATACTATTTGAGTGGGTTCCTTCATTCTTGTTGACGAAGGAGATTGCAACCTTGCTGTCCATTAACATGAGATTGTGTTGGTTGCTGCAATTCAAAACGAAGTACTTAAGAGATAGGAATGCTGCCAGCAATTCCAAATAGTTGATAAGGAATTGTTGTTCTGAGGAAGTCCAAGGACCTCTTATGTGGGTTACACCCATTGAGCTCCCCTCCTAACCTGGGCACATCTGTTGAGATTATTACTTAAGCAACTGGGAAATTTAGGTTCCTCCCATTGACCAATTGTAACTCCTTGATCCAGAACAGTAGATTCTCTCTCCCCTCTCTGACTAAGGAGGATGTGTCATCCAGAAGACCCCTAGAATGAAGTATTTGTGCTTCAATCTCTGTAGGGCACGATAATGAAGTGGACCTGATTCCCCTGCTATACTGACTGATGTCAGCAACTCTAATAGATGAAATAGGTTCCTTCCTGAGATAATTTCCCAGTTGAGGAAATGACGACATTCCTTCCCGATCAATTCTAGTTTCAACTGGGACATAGACAGGGAGAGATTTCTGAAATCCACTAGAAAACCCAGAAATTCCCTTACCTGGTTGGGAGCTAATACACTTTTCTCCAAATTGGTTAGAAAACCAAGACTGGTCAAAAGGGAGACTAACTGCTGAAGATGGTCTTAAACTTCCTTTGCAGAGGTCCCCATGATCAAAATATCATCTATATATCCGACTATGATGAATGCCCTTCTCTCTCATGAATGCTAGTACTGGTTTCATGACCTTGGTATACACACGAGAGGCTTACACTAATCTGAAAGGTAGGGAGCAGAACTGGTAATTTCTGTCCCCACTTGAAAATCTTAGGAACCTTCGATGATTGGGATGGATTGGAATAGCCAAATAGGCATCTTTTAAATCATAAAATCATTTCTCATTAAGTTCTCTCTCACACTCAAAATGTTCTCCATTTTGAAGTGCTGAACATTTAAGTAGCTGCTCCTCCTGGCCCACTCTCCATACCTTTTTCAGACTTTCTACATCAAACACTGGCTCCTCTGGTTAAAGACAAAGTATTCTCTTGGCACAGTGGCACTTACTGCTCTCGGAAATGCAAGAACTTAGCATTACTTGATTGTCACTGGCAACTCATCATCCCCACTCAACTTTGTCATTTTCCAACACATTCAACTGTACATTTCCTTTTATCTTATTCTTTCATCTTTCCACAACTCTCCCCTGTCTTCTTAAAATTAAGAATTAAACGTATAATAAAAGCAACACTCATTTAGCATTTCCTATTGTCTCTTTTTAATATTCATTAAAAATTTTTACTACATGCAATTATACTATAGTATCTTCTTTTACGTCTTTTATTAAACACATGTGCTCAGGCCAACTTCATTATGTTGCTGCAACTATATACTTCCTTAATACTTTAGATAATCTATCCCAAAAATTCAATACTCAATGGCACAATTTCAATACAATTTTCATTTCTTTAACCACTAACAACCAACTTTCCTCATTATAAAATAATGGAAACTAGAGAAAAAATTTAAACATTTAGTGTAGGGTTGAGCCTACAAAATGAATTCAAACAAGCCCCTGTAGGGTTATATCACCATTAAAATACAAAGATGTCAACCCTACACCGCAGGTATATCTTTGCAATGATATCATAAGTTTAAACTTCATTAAAGGCATGCCAAACATTTACCATAATGCTCATTCAATCATTAAATTGCCATAGTTACAATGATAGGAATAGCCATGAGTGGGCCTTTTCATACCTGCAGTATAGGGTTCACATATTGGTGTTTTAATGGTGATATAACCCTACAGGGGCTTCTTGACTTAATCTACAGTAGAAGACAAAATAAAGTTCACGTTTTAGCGCTGTAGAACGATGGTGCAACAAAACCATTCGTATCGTTTTCGTTTTTGTACCGTTTTATGAAACTGATATAAAACGGGGCGTTACTAGAATGCGGATCAGTGCGGATCACTGTGGATTGTTCCGCACACGGAACAAGCACATGAGCGCACGGAACGTTCACAGGAGTGTGCCTAGAATGTGGATCAACTCCTCAAGAATTCAGAATATCACAATGATAACTTCCTGCGGATCAGTCTTCTTGTTCTTCTATTCAATTCAATCTTTATTTGTTGCAATGTTTAACTCTTTTATAAAGTAAAAACAATTATTTTTAACAGTAAACTTTGAATGCACGAGATTTCAGTGAGTCAGGTATATTAATTCTGGTCATATCTTCCAGAACATGGCAAGCTTTTAAATAACTCTAACAACAAAAGATAAAAAATTTTATCAAAAACAAACAGAAAATATGATGACACAAAATACATACCAGCTGCTGCCCTACCTTTATCTGTATCAAGTAGGAGGAGTACTTAAAAGCTACCTCTATATACCTCTTTATTACAAGTTTACACTTATGATATAAACTATTGTAATCAAGTATTATTATGATTTCTTATACTATGGAGCGTGGGTGTCTACCATGGAAATCTTCGATGTTTAGCAGGAGTTATATGCTGATAACTACCCTGCCGACAGTGTGGAATTTGACAGTTTACATTAAAAAAATACTGCAATGAAGAGAGCGGGGTTTCATAATTTACATTAGAACAATACTGCAATACTGTACCATGGCATAAGTCAGGTACATCCTAGTCTGGAAGTGGTTATGGGTACATCACTTCCTTGAGATAAGTGGTCTTGGGCTATGCCTTCGACCACTTATCTCTCAGGAGGTATGTACCCATAACCACCTCGAGACAGGGATGTATTCTACACTTATTATCAAGTACTAGAAGAATGTAAAACATTAAGAAGGCAAACCTAAGCAAGCCATTGGTGTATGTGTTGTATGATCTTGATCTATGAAACAATGCAGATCATAAGTAGCAATTCTTTCTTTAGAATGTAAATTCTCTCCATCACTGCTTCATTACTAAAAATTTCTTCAGCAATGAAAGTTAACTTGCTTATAACATTAAAGATAGTTACAAGCATTCACTAGATACATATGCTTGTTTAACTTCCTTGCTGCTATGCAGAAGATATGAATAGCAATGCATTGCGTTCAACTTATTTAAGTCCTTTATATCATAAGAATGATTGTATATCTGCTTTTCTAACCTTTCTTGCTGCTAGAGAAGTCTTTTGATAGCAGTTTAGTCTTATCTTTCAAACTATTTGTTGCAAAAAAGTTCAGAGTTGCTGATAGCTGCCATTTTATTTCATTGTGACCAGCCACTAGCGTATCCAAAGGGGGGTTCAGGAGGCTTGAGCACCCCCCTCATAGCTGAGCTCAGAAAAAAATTATTCAAATCCTGGACTCTTACATCATTGTTAAGCCTCTTAACAAAGTTATCTAGCCCCCTAATCATAATTTCAGCAGTTTCCAGTGCTTGAAGGAGTGATCAGAAGTCATCAGGAGTACCAGTATGGTTGAAATTATCTCGACCACACCTGTAATTTATGAAAATGAAGGAAAATGCCATTTTACCACCATGAAAGGGATGTAGCCAAAATTGCGGCACACTTTGCTTGTCCTTAGCATCTCCCTTTTCCATTTTCTTAATACGCCCGTGGTGACCACACCCGCTTTCAAGAAAAATTGTGCCTTTTAATTTTAGTAATAGTTAGACGGTCCTATGCCGTACATTCAAATAGATGCTTTCTCACTTTAGCCAGGCGAGCTCAGGCTCGCCCCAATTATTATGATTTGTTTTCCCTCTGGCTCATTGATCAAATTTTTGCTCGGAGTTAGTAACTCACATGATCAATTATCAAAAAATTTATATTAAATCTTTAAAGTGCTAATCAATTATTCATAGTTTCAAAAGCTAAATACATTGTCATATATTTTGCCTTTCTACTTGTAGAATTCTAGTCCCACATCACATCCTTCGGATGTTTGAGGGATTATTAATTCTGCCTCAATTTTTTTATGAAAGATGTAGCTAAAGTTATAACTGGAGTGGCCAGAACTTTTGGCATAACTTTAGAAGAGAAGTAAATAGTACCTATTATTAGTCATTTGAAAGGGACCTAGTTTCTGTCAACTGGGTAAGCGAAGTTTACAATATTCTTGCCTTAGCTTCTGTTTTTGACCACTCACCTCACTAGAAAGGTAAGTTTCCATGAATCATTAATTTGTATAATGATATATTAGTAAGGTAGTTTTGTCATTTATGTGATGACTGTAGTCTCGGGCCAGACTATCCATTGATGATGGACCAAGAGGCTTGTTTGTTAGAGGAAAACAATAAAACAACTATAGTGTGACTACAGTGATACAATAAAAGCAGTACTTTGTGGTACTTTCCAATTGGAGTTTATGCTGCATGTATGTAGTTGTACAATTATTTACATTTCATTTTGTTCAATGAGTAATGAAAATAATAATTAACAAATAAATGTTGATGTATAAAAAGTGGACATTTGCATGAATGTACTTTATTCCTGTCTATTCTTATCCTTTTAGCTTTCAGAGTCCCACTGCTCACATGAAACAAATGCAAACAACACTTCTACACATAATGGCAGCCACGATGTTTCATCTACTCGTTACCACACCTGGTAAAGTCACATTAGCGTTTGTCTGAAGTCAATTATCTGTGTATAGCTTCATAATTTTCACTTCACTTCCTTTAACAACTTTGATATGGGCTGTTTTCTAGACCACCCCGCAGACACGGAGGGTGTGGTTTTGCTTCACAAGACTAGTTCTAAGTTAAGTTCTTGGATATTTATGCAGGGCAGACACACTTATTAGGCTCTATTTGTTGCATGCAAACTCTTGTCTAGCATCTGAAGTTTATGGACTTTGGCTACTCTTCCTTAAGACAAGCACCTTGCAATGATTATTAGGGAAATACATATACCTCTTCAAAACTAAGAAAGTTACAGAAAAACGTTACATTATGTTTTCAAAAAAGTTTTGGTCTTATTACATGTACTATTAAGCCCTATTTCTCAAAACATGACAACATCTTACTAGAACCTACTACATTTGGCAAAATTGTTCGTTTTGGATGCCTTAAACTGCCACCTGTTCTTGATACGTAACTTTTCCAAACCTGAGAACCACAAAACCTCAGAGTGAAAGTCAGTCTGTGGACAGAAAGAATGAATAAATGAAAGGCTCCACACTTATGTACAGTAGAAGACAAAATAAAGTTCACGTTTTAGCACTGTAGCATATGATGGTAGAACAAAACCGTTCTTACCATTTTCCTTTTTGTCCCGTTTTTACTAGTGCTGGCGATATATCAAAACTCACGATATTTAATCGATATAATGCGGTATTGATACTTATCAATATTGTAGAAAATATCAATAACAAGACCACGCCCATAAAATGGTTACATAACCTTAATAAATGGTTAATTAACTATAGGAGTAACATCTATAAAATTACTAAAATGTATTTTCTTGAAAAGTAAATGAAGTAGCTGAAGTATATGAAGCCAAAGAAGATTTTTATAATGCTTTTTAATAATAATTGTTCCCAGAAATAGCTTTATTTAGCCGTTCTAGTAATATTAAAGTTAATGGGTGTGGCTTAATAACTTATTGATAAAAAGTATCGATATCTTCATTTTTAGGCAATATCGTATGATATCGTATTGTTTCAAAATTTTAAATATCGCCCAGCACTAGTTTTTACAAAACTGAAATAAAACGATTGGAAAAATTTAGGGCATGGTTATGCGCAAGAGTAGGTGTGGTTTGTGAAGAATCATTTTACTTTGAGTTGGTTTGTTCTCACAATGTCTCAGTTCTATTTCAACCAGTTTGCTCATTCATTAGTTGCTACTGTGTAGTATAAGACCCGTCATCTTCTGGTAAGAATACTATACTCTATAACACTGTGTATTTTAGCCGTAAGTTGCAATTTATACCCGTATAAGAAATAAAGAAAAAATCTATAGTGTGTGTTTGTTGTTGTTTATACAAATAAATAGTTATTCTTTGTCTACAAATCAGTTAATGCTACCAATCTGTGACGCTCTTCAGTACTCATATCCACTGATTTCACTCCGCTTCAGAGTCATATCATCGGAGAGAGATTTTTTGCTAAACCTATGGCAAAGCAAAACAGTTAATGTTTATACAAGTTATCTTACATTTGCCTATGGTTTTGTGTAGCTCAGATAGAAGAAACATGGCTTGAGCAAACACTCAGTGATCCACTAAAGTCTCCTCTTCAACCAGTCAACCACACTGCACCCATGTGTAATTTACTGTACACTGTCCTTTTTCTGTATAAACAGTAATAAAACAGAAACCTCCTGTTTTTTAATCCTTTAAACGGTACTCTAATGCAACGCATAGTATCGTAATTTAAGTCATTTCGTATTTGTATCATTTCTGTAGAACGTGAACTTTATTTTGTCTTCTACTGTATAGGTTTGAAGAAGTCAACCCTACAGAGGCTTGTTTGAATTAACTTTGTAGGCTCAACCCTACACTAAAAAATTTTTCAATTTTTTTTCTCTAGTAATAATTTATTCAAATTGCATAAAATATCACAGTACAAGTAACACATATGACTCAGGTAGAGATGGGCGATATCACAAAAATTACTGACAGTTATCACAAGCAAAATTATTATGATTATCCCGATTATTATGAATAATAATGATTATGTAATCATTGCAATGATACATGAAATAATCAACTTTAATGATCATGTTAACTTGTTAAGCGATACTTAGGTTAAATAGGCAGTTCTATTGTAAGTTCCTAGATAAAAAAGTGAGGTAATTGACATTCTTTGGATGAAGGCAACTTCTATGATTATTTACAATGTAGCCACATGTACCGAACATCCATTCACTTGGAACACTAGTGCCACAAATACATAAGTACTTCCGAGCTAAAAATGAAAGAGCTGGAAACCTTCTCTGCTCACTTTTCCACCATAGCAAAGGGTCTGTCTCAGCATTCACTTTTGGGTACTCCAGGTAAGAGATTACTTCATTATCAATTTTATCTTGTACTGTGACTAAAACTGGAACCTGTGATTCCTCCTCAATGTGCTTTAGTATAGCTGATACTCCTTTTCTCTTATTCGTAGGAGGTAAGACTTGGTGGAATTCTTCTACTCTGACAGTTGATGACTGATGCTCTTCTGCAGTTAGCAAGACATTCCTCCTTTATGAGCTCCACAGTAGCCTCTTTATTTCCAAGGTACTGA